AGTTACAGAATTGCTGAAGTAATGACTTTTAATAACTGATAAGAAATAATTACAATGTAAGCTTTTGAAGCAAAGAACCCTGTTTGTTATTTATTAAGATTTCCTAAATCTTTTAAATAGGTATTGTGTTTACAGTACTTTTGCCATTGTTTTCTGCGCAGAACTCTTTATCAGGCCATAGTTTTAAACCTTTTTTTTAGCCTCTTCCTAAGAGTAGAAATATGGTTTTCCTTTTAACAAAGAACCTTAGATGTAAGAATTCTAGGTAATCCAGCAGAAAAATTGTTCCTCTTTACTTATAGGCTGTGCTGTGAGGTTTACTTAGTAAGCTTTTAGTTATAGGAAGTGTTTGCTTCATCTATTACAGAGATCTACAACTGTTTTAAATGAAGGGCCATTTCACAGGGCCAGTGCTAGGCATATTATGCGCCCTAGGCAAGACCAGCTACTTGCGCCCCCCCCCCAAGTAAATAAATACAATTTTTTAAAAACTGTAGAAAATATAAAATCAGAAAAACATGAAACTGCTAAATTTCTTTTAATTTGCAAAAATAAGTGCCATAACATGCCACCAGCACCTATATTAAAGACAAAATCAGTGTCACGGACAGACTGCATCTCTGCCTGGCAGTGGCAGGGTGACAGTTGCAGTGAGTGGAGGATGATGGATCCACACTCTTGACAGATCCCAGGCTGGAATTCCCCAGGCAAGGGGGGGGGGGGGGGGATTAAACGCTGTGACAACAGGTAGCTGAGCTGAGCGATCCCACACAGTGACAGATCTGACACAACACCACACCAGCAACACTAACACAGTGGAAGAGCAGGTTGTAGGATCGTGATGTCATATCACACCAACACATTGCACATGTGATAGATGTCCGGCCGGGTCACACTCACAAGAGACATCAAAGTCAGACATTACCTACCTTCGCAGGCGCAGCTCTGCCTCCGCAGGGCTGGAACACCACAGTGATGAGCAGCTGCCAGCTGGCTTGCAATAAGGAATTGAGTCTGAGAAGAACACTGGAAGGAGCAGCAGCTCAGCTACTACACTGGCCCAGACACCTGGCATCTTCCTCTGTCCTTTCTTCCACCCCTCACAGCTGGAGGATAATTCATGACATGGCGGCGTCCCACACAGAGAGTGCTGCTCTGTGCTGCACCCAGGTGCCCTAGGTGGCAATGTGCCCTAGTTTACCTAGTGGAAGCACCGGCCCTGCCAGTTCATTGTCATTCAGACTGTTAGAGTCTCAGACTGTGACTAGTGGTCACTTGAAGTAAAAATGCCCTGGTGTCAGTGGAAGTAAAAAATGTCCCATTGTTGGTGTCAATGGAAGAAATAGTGACTCATCCCCGTGTTGGTGGAAGGAATAGCATCCCATTCTTGGTGTCAGTGGAAGGAATAATTTTCCATCCTTGATCTCTGTGGGAAAAATGGTGCCCCATTCTCAGTGTCAGTGGGAGGAATTGTGCTTCACCCTTGGTTTCAGCGGAGGGAAAGTGTGCCCCATCAATTGGGGTCAATAGGAGAAATAGTTCCCCATACTTTGTGTCAGTAAAATTAGGAACTCAACAGCATTGCTCTTCTATGGTCACCTAACTCTGTATATACTCTGTCTCTCACAATATTTCTCTACTGGCCTGATAGCTTCATAGCTAGAACTCTGCAGGAGATCATTCCACTCCACAGTGCCAGCTAAATTATTTCCTGCGTTCCAGCACCTGACACCCACTTCTGTTCTGCATACAGGGCAAGGGGGGCAGTAACAGGTGAGTAGTGGCCCACATCCTGCCTATGGGCTATAGTTTGAGAACCACTGCTTTAGTATTTAAGTTGTGGTTCACTGCAACTCATAACTGTAACAGTGATTTCTTTAAATAAATGGGAAAACAATGTGTTTGATCTGTGGGTGCTTTTGTTTGAGTAGAGTTCACTTATATTGGTGAACTGAACAGTGATGTTCCCACCTAATTACTATTCACCTGGGTGGTGATGAGCCTTTCTGTTACTTCAATGTAAAAATTTTGGACCCTATGGTGGCTGAATAGTAGAACTCAGAGAGGAGCTGGAGATTTGTATTCTGTTCTTTTCAAATCAATATTTTGTTATTTCTGTTAGATATTCTGTATTGCCACTTGACGCAGATCAATTATTGTTTGGAAAGCTCAGATTATTTGCTTTTGTTTGATTCTTTACTAGGTTTGGTTTCTCTTGAAATTGCAAAATAAGATTGATACATTTACTTCATGTGTTATCATAATAGCTTACATTATATCAGCAACAGTGCATTGTACTATGTGGGTTTGCTAGCTACATTTCAGTCTCCTCAGGACATACAGGTGCATCTCAATAAATTAGAATATGATCACAAAGGTAATTTATTTCAGTAATTCAATTCAAAAAGTGAAACTCATATATTATATAGATTCATTACACACAGAGTGATATATTTCAAACATGTATTTCTTTTAATTTTGATGATTATGGCTTAGAGCTAGGGAAAACCAAAATTCAGTATCTCAGAAAATTAGAATATTGTGAAAAAGTTCAATATTGTAGACTCATGGTGTCATCAGCTAATTAACTCAAAACACCTCTAAGGGATTCCTGAGCCTTTAAATGGTCTAGTCCAGTAGGTTACACAATCATGGGGAAGACTGCTGACTTGACAGTTGTCCAGAAGACAGTTATTTACACCCTCCACAATAAGGGTAAGTCACAAAAGGTCATTGCTAAAGAAGTTAACTGTTCAGAGTGCAGTATTCAAGCATATTAATGGACAGTTGAGTGGAAGGAAAAAGTGTGGTAGAAAAAGGTGCACGGGCAACAGGGATAACCGCAGCCTTGGGAGGATTGTGATAAAAAGACAAAACATTTGGGGGAGATTCACAAGGAGTGGACTACGGCTGGTGTTAGTGCTTCAAGAGCCACCACACACAGATGTATGCGGGACATGGGCTACAACTGACAAGCCACTCTTGAACCAGAGACAGCATCAGAAGTGTCTTACCTAGGCTCATGAGAAAAAGGACTGGACTGTTGCTCAGTGGTCCAAAGTCCTATTTTCGGATGAAAGTACATTTTGCATTTCATTTGGAAATCAAGGAAATTAAGAGTGGAGATGCACAGAATCCAAGTTGCATGAGGTCCAGTGTGACGTTTCCACAGTCAGTGAATGATTTGGGTCATTTTGTTTTATCAAGTCCAAAGTCCGCGCAGCCCTCTACCAGTAAATTCTAGAGCACTTCATGCTTCTCTCTGCTGACCAGCTTTATGGAGATGCTGATTTCATTTTCCAGCAGGACTTGGCAGCTGCCCACACTGCCAAAAGTACAATACCTGGGTAAATGATCATGGTATCACTGTGCTTGGTTGGCCAGCAAACTCGCCGGACCTAAACCCCATAGAGAATTGTGGGGTATTGTCAAGAGGAAGATGAGAGACACCAGACTTAACAATGCAGATGAGCTGAAGGCCCCTATCAAAGCAAGCTGGGTTTCTATAGCACTTTAGCAGTACCACAGACTGATCACCGCCATGCCACGGCACATTGATGCAGTAATTCATGCAAAAGGAGCCCCAAAGTATTGAGTGCATACTATACTGTACATGGATGTACTTTTCAGTAAGCCAACATTTCTGTATTAAAAATTATTTTTTTATTAGTCATTATGTAATCTAATTTTCTGAGTTACTGAATTTTGGGGTTTCACTAGCCTTAAGCCATAATCATCAAAATTAAAAGAAAGAAATGCTTGAAATGTATGTGTAAATATATTTGTGTAATGAATCTATATAACATGAGTTTCACTTTTTGAATTTAATTACTGAAATAAATAATTTTTTGATGATATTCTGATTTATTAGGATGCACCTGTTGAACTGATTTTAAAGTCCCCCATGTAGCTTCTGACAAACTTTATGTGTTTTAGTTAACAGTGGCTTTCTTTTTGACACACTCTCAAAATGCTAATTGATAGTTGTTGTATGCATAGTCTCTCCAGTCCCACTGAGGCTTGTAACTCCTATATAGTGGCCAAAGGTCTCTTGGTGACCTACCTTTCTGAACTCCTTGAATGGTCACGCAGTTTTGGGAATGGCTTGTTCTTCGCAGCTGTGCTGTTTTCTTTCTATTTCTCAAAGTCAATGAAAGGAAAAAAATATGAGAAGAAGAGAGTAAAAAAATACTTTAAAGTGGTTCTAAAGGCAGGACATTCTTTTACCTCAATTCATTCCCTGCATTAGGTCCATTCCCTGGATTAAAATCCTAACTCTACCCAGGGCTGTGCCCAAAGTGCAGCAATGCTGCACTCTCCATTTCCCTTACAGGACTTAGAGCAGCAGAAGACACTGACTCCTGCTGTCAATGGAATCTTGTAAGGCGGACGTCGGGGGGCAGGGCCAATCCACACTTTGTGTATGTAGATGCACACATCCTGGCTCGGGAGTGAGCCTGCAGGTGTGCACCCATAGGAAGCAGCTTCCTATTATGGTGCACCAAGAAGAGGAAGAGCCAAGTGCACAGGCAGGGGGCCCGAGAGGGAGAGGATCCAGGCTTCTCTGTGCATCATTGGATAGAGCAGGTAAGTATAATATCCTTATTATTTTGATTAAAAATAAGCTTTATAATTACTTTAAGTGCCAAAAACTTCCATATTCTTCCTGTCAGTTCCCACTGGACCTTCTCAAGGGATTCCTGGACTGAGACTGACTTAGGATAATATCTTGTTTTGTGTTTTTTTATTTTTATAGATCAAATCTATAAGACTATACTGTGTTGTAACAGTAATATAAGAGTACATTGTAATTGTTTGTAAAAACTATTTAACAGAGAAAAAAGTCAGCAATTGTCAGATTACATTGTAACTATGTTGTAGTGTTGGCAGGGTTTCACCACTACTATTGGTCCAATGGTAACTACTTGTAGTATTGCCAACCAGTATATAAATTATCTATCTGCAATCTAATGCCTAATGTTTATCTGTCTTGTTTACAGCTTCTACTTGATACTCATTCCTTGAAAACTGTTCTACTGGAACTGCCATCCATTGGTTCTCAAGTAATAAGGAAAGCTCCAGCCAGTTACACAAAGATTGTAGTGAAAGGCATGACCCGGGCTGAGATGATCCTAAAGGTGAGCTATCAGTCATTTATTTCACTGTAAAATGGACAACATTTTACTTTAAATCTAAAGGTTGTGCTAAAATTTCTGCAAAGAAATGTGGACTAAAACTTTGTTTAAACATTTTATAGGTCTTTTGTGCTTGTGAGACGTTTCACTTTGCTGTCATTTAATCCACTCGTACGTGCAAAATTGTAAATAACTGTTGGAGGAAATGCAATTGGAGTCAAGTATCTGACCAATGTGCCTCCATCCTTCACAGCCAGGCTATTCTAACAGACAAAGCCTCAGCACCTCCTGATAATGATATGAAGGTCGCTGCGCCATCCTGCCTCCTGCATATTACTGTTGGCCGGTGAGGTAGCCTATAATAGTGATGGACCATTAGGAATTTGTGGGGGCAAAAGGTAGTGGCAAGCTTTGACCCTTTCTCTGAGAATCTGCCATACCAGAAGGGTCTCTGGCTGCTGTACCTTATACTTGTTGCAGTTTTTTTTTAATGAAAACATCTCTGATACAATTTCTTTAAACAAGCTGTTGTTGGCATCTGCATTACTTGAGAGCCTGCAGCCTCTTCTTGTCTACATGCACTCAAGCAATAGCTATATGCAGTGCTGAATTTATAAGGGGGCAAAAGGGGCAATTGCCCCCTGCCTGCCAGAGGGGGCCCCAGACTTCCTTTATTAAAAAAATTAAATAATTTATAAAATTAGTTTTATTAAAAAAAACAATTACAGTGCATGTGTGTCTCAGCATACAGAACAGTTAAGCTTGATTTCAGAGGCAAAGTAAGAGATGAGTGTAGCAATTGTGCATACAGAGATGGACACGGTCATCCATCTTGCTAAGGATCCTCCATCTTGTATCATTTCTGCTCCCAAATCAGCTTCCCTCCAATTTCCCCATTCCCTCAGGAATGTGGTCTGTATGATGCCAGAGATCACAGGCACAGTGGGGGAGCTGCATGGTTATAAATCCTACACTAACTGGTGCCCGGGTGTCTGTTAGCTTCTCAATCTGAGCTTCAAAGACATTCCAGCTAGCTGTAAAACAGACTCAAATTTAGAGATCCCCTTTTCCATGTAATTTTATATCTGGAGATATGGAAGACTTACAAGGAAACCAGGCATATATTCAGATTGGTCACTTTAATACAAGTCGGCTGATATATTACACCCCCTAGCTGAAATCTACAGGAAAGCAGAAAATAATATCTCCTTAACCGTCCCAAGCAGGTATGTCATATTTAATATCTAGACATTCAGCAGATGCTTCTGCATATTAATCTACTAGTGGCAAGGCTGCTACATGCACCAAGGGTAAGTTATGGATCATGATATAAATTGGGAGGGATTTTGGTTCTAGCTTGGGTCTCCACCTGCAACTCTCTCCCCAAATGAGGGGATTGGTTCTATGCTTCAAGGAGACACCCTGCTGAGTTCCTAAAAAGGCTGTTATGCTTGGAGCAGAGAGTTAAGTTGAGTAGGTCGTGTTGAAGTTGAAGAATCCTCGCTTTTAACATCGGAACCAACTTTGGGAGATAAGGCACCTTTTTGGCTCAGGAAACTTGATCTGCTTAACCCAGGACTTTTGGCAAGTACTCTACCTCTCTAAACTTTTCTGTTATCTCTTTGCTGTGTTATTGCTCTTTGTATGTATGTATGTATGTATGTATGTATGTGTGTATATATATATATATATATATATATATATGTATATATTGGCAATATCTTTTTCTGTAAATATTGTTATTGCACCCTTTTGACCTTTTTTGTAATAAATCCTATTATCTGAAAAGTTTTGAACTGCTTTTAAAGTTCTTTAATGCAAACTAAGAACCCCTGTCTCTGAAGAGCATTACTGTGTGTTTTAAACGTCTGCATACATCCGTCTGCGGTGACATTGTGTATACAAACGATTATTCAAACATCATAGTGTTATTGCTAATATTGGCGAGCTTTCTCCTACTCTGTACAAAAAGGCGGTGGTGGCAGTGTGAAGGGTTAATTGCGTAATTAACCTGAGCCAGTAACAATAGCTGCCAGGCTGCAGGTACACAGATTGTGGTCCATTAGCTGTAAAATCTTTGGGCAGGGTGCAGTTGGGCGTGGCATTGTGACAGCGCGGTTTTAGATTGGCTAGTCCTTCAGTCACGAGTTTGGTGAGAAGGGCTGGGGTCGGACGCCGCGATCGTCACAATAAGGACTTCTGGGAGCTGTTTTACATTTTAACTTCTCACATTATTTTACTAATGGAGATGTTTGTTTTAACATGACTGTTTCGTGGAATGTATTGCCTTGTTTTCGAGAGACAAGTGAGGTGGGACAAGGGACAAGGGAAAAGTTCGAAAAATGTTAAAGTACCAGACAACAGCCCCGACCCCATTGAGTGGGAGTGAAGTTAAAAAAGAAATATAGGCAAAACTTTTAATTTCGGATAGAGCGAGGGAGTGTTAGAATCACTTTCAGATGTTTTTTTGCCATCTGTGTCCTGTGTCAGAGATTTCCCTTCGCTTCCTGTGCTATAGCAAAACAGAAAGTGAAAAGAAATCCCTGAAAATTAAGGGAATTCCTTGGGGAACCCCAGGTCACCAGAACTAGTGTCCCCATAGGAAGATTTCCCCTCTATTACTTTTCTGGGGATAATCCAAAATTTAGGATTTTCTTTCACTTTCAATGATAACTGTAAACAAGACAAATATTGAGGGTGAATCTCCTTAATGGAGGCACAGACAGAAATAAAAAACTGTCAGGAGTTCTAATCCCTCTGTACGCTATCCAGAACTTAAAAAATTTTGCCTTTAATTATACTTTAATTACCAGCATCCGTTTATCTCAGTGTGAAACACGAGAGAGAAGCTTACTCCCCTGCTTGACTCAGATTGGTCAAGGGGCGAATCTGACACATCTCTAATAGGATAAAACTTTGTTAACACGTTTTACCCGAAATTATGAGATTGGTTAAATTCGGGACAGGCATGGCTCTGAATCAGATTTCGTCCAGAATGACATAGCAGAGTGTTTGACAAAATCGGCAGAGTAGAGGACTTTCCTTCCTTACGTGTCTTGCACCAAGTGTGTTAGTGAAGTCAACTCCTAACCAATGAAGTTTTTTCCCATGTCCTGAATCCTTCGACCAGATTTTTCACAAGTGATTTTCCATTTCCCGAACCTTTCTGCCTGTGAACCTTTTCATACTACCTCCTGTACACCTGTCAGTGCCATTCACTCAGCAAAAAGAGAGGGGACTTGCCATAATGCTCATAAATCATTAATTTCAGTTCACTTTATTTGTCATATAATTTAATTTGTATTTTGAGAGGCCCCTGAACTTGAAGTGCCCTAAGCCCCCAAGGTCTAAATCCGGCCCTGGGTGTATGTCATTTCTCAGGGTGGGTTTCCTGAGGGCAACAACAGTAGACCATACTTGTGTAATATGTGTTGAAACCTAAATTTGTAACCTCCATTGGAAGCCCATGTACCAGTAACAAAGCAGAGTAAAATTGAGAGACAGAGACAAAGTATTGTCACCCTATATCAGTAAATGCTTGAACAATGACCTTCCTGTCAAGATCACCAAGTATTATTTTTATTGGAAGCCACAGATATAAAATTAATATTCAGTGTAGAATTCATTCTAAAATTATTTTAATGTGTTAAAGCTTATATAAGATGTAAGTGATTGGGTTTACATGTACAGACTGAAACCCATGTAAACCAGACTTAAAATATCTTCCTGGCTCCTAAAATCAGTGACACTTTCCTGAAAACCTTGCAGTGGAACATTTAGTCCTCCCCTGCTTTGATAAATGGATGCAATGGTTTGGGGAGGTGGGAAAAAAGTTTAAAAAGATTGCTTTTTGGAGCTGACTCTGCAGTTCAGAACTTCTTAAAAACCTTTTTGTTTCATGGTTTATATGTTAAAATTACCATAGAAAATTAAGTAGCGTATCCTACCATTGCCAAGTTTAGAAAAAATAAACACAATCCAAGACAGTTTTATGACTGTCTGATGGTTCAGACCAGTTTAATATACTGTCCGTGGGACAACACTTTGACAACTATATTGCAGTGGAAGAAAAAAAAAACAGAATCCAGAGCTTTAGTTACAATAAGGAAGAAGGGGACATCATTCATCATTAAATGTTTGGACATTTATAGAAAGAACAGTTTTTTCAAATACATTTTGTAATACTTAGAAAGCTACCCTATATATGTATGTGCAGGGGTATGTTTAATTTTCCATCTTCTGTTTTGCTTTGTCATCCCATTTTCTTATTTACTATATATACATTTTTAGAGAAATCACCTTTTTTATTATTTTAGTATGATTTTTACAGATTTTACTGTTTTAAAAATATTTAATATAGAGGTTTATTAGCCAATAGAGAGAGCTCCCATTGGCTCAATGTGATTGCTCTTTTCAATGACTTGTTAGAGGATATGGACCTCCCAGAGGATGTATTGTTTCCACTGAGTTGGCAAACTCTTAGAGTTGCATTGCGTGAAGGGGTAGTAAGATTGTGTATCACTGCAAAGCACGGAGCATATCCTGTCTATGTAACAAGCAGGTTTACTCTGATCTGCACTTTGTTTGGGCCAAATTGCCTAATGAACTGTTGACGAGGTCCATAGGAGCATTTAACAGCTCATATTGTAGAGTGTGCAGCCTTCCCATTGCAGGAAGCCTTTGATTAATTTGAACAATGCTCCCCCACCCCTTGTAACTGATTGCCATTTCCCCATGGATCCAGTGGTGACTCCACTTGCAGTGTCTCTGGGGCTTATAGAGCAAGAATCAACAGCTTAAAAAATAAAAAACTATTAAATGTACGGAGGGGAGGGAGTGTAAGCATGTAAATAAAGCTCAGTGCCATGTCTCTGATCAATCAGCCTGCTGCTTGAAAGCCTTAATTTTGATAAATTGTAGGACCTGTTTTGAGGGTTGTTTTTCATTTTTACTTTTTGTATGTGGCTCTTGTTCCTTGTCAAAACATGATCATTGTTAGTAATTAGTGTGTAGTACACCACTGGGTAGTACCAAAATAACTTGCACTGTTTTAGCAGTTGTTTTTGTTTTGTATCTGTGAAGAATTTTCTTTGCTTGCTACCAAAATGGACATGGCACTAAGCTATGTTTGTTATCTGAAATATGTTTTAAATGTATAAGTATGCTGTTAAATTATAGCCTGGGGCTATATGTGATTGGTGGTGATGTAGGGGGTCTTCTGTAGGAGAAATCAAACCTATAAGGTATCCAAAGCGATTGCCTGTTTTCAGAATTGGTCATACCTCTTCTGTGACATTCCCCATTACTTGTAAGCGTGACCGTGACTGCTGACATGGACAGAAGGAATGCATCTTCCTGTTAGTAAAGGGACATTAACAAACTACTTACCTAGCTTATTCAGGAAATGGCATTTAGAAAACATTTTGCAGACTTGGTGCATTATAAATGTGTCGTTTAAAAAGAAAATGTGTGTTTTTTGTTATTTTGTGCTGTTTTAATATTTGCTAGAAAATATTTCACATAGTTTTCACAATTATACAAGCTTGCCATTTTATATTTACTAGTTGTTATGGTATGATATATAAACATTTCAACCAACCAAAGGTAGATGTGCAGGTAGCACTTTGTTTTAGTGAGAATTTCACACTTTAAGGGAACCTTTCTTGTTGGGCATCTATTATCTTGTATTGAAGAAAGAGCCATTAGAGTAAGTATAATGCCTTTATGCCAAAAGGGAAGTACCGTGTACTTTAGGAAACCTGTACTGAGTGAAAGGGTTGTCTGTTCAAATCCCAACCACCGCACTACCTGCCTGCAGTTTGCAGGCGCTGTGTAATTTGACGATGCTATATCCGTACCTGTAATATTAATAATGTATAGACTACCATTTTTTTTTTTTCGTTGCCTGGCTCATAAGCTGATTGATACATGGAAAACTAATTTCTGTCTGAGAGTGTTCATTTGTCCTCCTCTAGCTTTAGTATTTTGATTCAGTGACCCTGAACAAATATGTAGCAAGTGAACTGATATGCAGATCAGTGATTTAGAAGCACCAAAACCAGAAGATCACTATGACAGTAAAGGAAGAAGATCAGTAATGGCAACCCCCATAGATTTATCATGACATTTCCTTTAGGACTTTTATCAGGATTGCCTTACTTGCCTTGCATTGGGTGTTTGTTTCAGTCCATGCAGTATATGTATGAGGAGCTGTGTTTGTTGCTTTTTTTGTGGGTGGCCTGCTCTTCCACACTTTAGAAATACAGTATACTATTAGATTGTTTCTTATTGAGAAAATACAAAAATATGTAGCTTGTTCGTACCTAAGGCTGTACAACATGCAGGAGGAACCATTCCCAGAATATAAATTCCCAATTTCCTACCCTGCCAGACAAAAAAGGGGCACAATTTCAACCTGTTTCCAATGTTTTAAATAAAGCACAAGTTTTGGGGCAGACTTTTGAATATATATACTGTATTTAGGACCAATCTAAAGCACTTTGCTACAGTGTGTGGTCTTTGTGCAAATCTGTGGGAGTACCAATATAGTGATGAGTAAACGTAAATCAAGTTTACCTGGATTTACTCTGCTTTACGTGCATTTGACACATGACAACCAGACTTCTCATGTTGTGTACCAAGCACAGACAAAAAGAGGCTGCATTTCAGTGACTTGATATGCAACGTATTCCTCTTTTTGTATGAACCGTTTTCTGGCTGGCAGGATTAAGCACTGATACCTTTGTTATGTGTATGTTACAATTTACTGGCTCTTAGTGTATATATACCGTACATATATGTTTTTCCTAGTAAAAAAATAAAAATAAAAAAATAGAGCCATGTCTTAGACCAAATGTACTAATTGCATTACAACAACCAGAGAAGTTACCATTCCATCCATGTAACCTGGCTGATAAAATGCTTACAATAACTCATGCTGTGGTTATAATGTGCTGGTCAGTACAATATTTGTTTCCAATCAGTAAAATTCTGTTTTTACTTATAAAGTGTTTGGTATGTTACTGTAGTTCATATTAAGCATATTGTGAGGGCACAGGAATTGCTGTGTAGTGTTTTTGTGTCCTTCCAGAGACCACAAGATATCCCTGGGGAAGTGGAATGCACTTTGGGTTTTTGGAAGTTTTCAGTCTGCTGGCAGCCACTCCACTGTACATTCCAAGTTTAGGTTGGGCTGTAAGCCCAGAAGAAAAGTTGGTTATAAGCATTCTGATCATCCAGACAGCCACAGTTAAAGTGCCATACTGATCATAGAAGATAAAGTCACCCCCTACACAGAGTACTAAAATATTATACTATATTACAGTATTTCTAAAGTATAACCCAGGCACAAGATGTGTATATAAATATATTCTTCAATAGCCTGTAAGGATAGAAGTACATTTTTTCACAACCAAACACCTTTGCAAACCTAGTTTTTTACTATGTAAAAGCATTAGTGACATCATCACTATGATGTACATAGCCTGTGCAGAGAGCAGAACTGTGGGAGGGCCCCCATCAGGTCCATGCACTACATTCTGTCCGTAGAAGACTACAGGGTGGGAGTGGGTGCAAGACCAGGGTGGGTGGAAGACCTGTGATCTTCACAAGGAGAGAGAGTAACTGGCACTGGTCTTTTTTTACAGGTAGCTTCTGCATAGAGGCAAAGTTTCACTAAACAGATCTGGATGAAATACACCAAGATTCAAGGAAGAATATAGATGCCCCTTGTGTTTAATATGTGCTTATCCTGGAGGTCAGCTTTGAAGTGGAGCTATGGGCAAAATTAGAAATGACATTGATAGCAGTCTCTCAATATCATTAACACAGCAATCTTTGTTTTTTTTCTGAGACTCTGCATAACATAGTTATATTACCTGTTGCTCCTGCCAGTAGATCCGTTATTTTTCAGCTTCCTTTAACCCTTTGAGGACCGTAAGGTTTTGGAACACCAAAAGAATAAATTTTTTTTGTTTTTAAAGTTCGTACACTTCAGTTGCTGTAACTAAGCCATTTCATGAAATAATTGGCAAAAAGCTAAATCCATTTGTTGTTTGTTGATAAGAACTAATATTTTGACTCAAACCAAAAAAAAAAAGAAGAGTTTTAAGTTCTTAATCAGATGATACAGGGAATTACAAACATGGGACAAATACGTCCCTTGGTCCTCAAAGGGTTAACAGAAGGGCTGCATTCTAAGTCGTGCATTGGTCCTGCATGAATGTACATTCAGGGTTGCATTTGAAAATCCTACACAGACCATCTGTACCCCCAGGTGAATAAATATGTACCTGTGTGAATAAAGCCTTAGTGTGAAGGAAAATGGAATTGACAGAGACTAACAGGACAGTCCATCTTGCCGGATCTCATATTGCAAGAACATACTACATCCCTTGTTTCTGACTTGACCCCTGTTTGGATCTAGCATATGCATAGTGAAGGCTTCCTTTTCCTTTTCTCTGGAGTAAAGGAATAATTGTGGATATTTTTCAACTTTTATGTATACCTTAGGTTAGGATTACTTCAGGTTCCAGTGGCTCCAAGCTTAGATCTTAAGCTGCAGAATGAAATTGTGGCTGCAGAATGCACCCGAAATAATCAGTTTATTACAGGCAGTGCTGCATCATAAAGGTTCCCAACCAATATGAAGCAGATTTCCATTTCCCAGTTTAAAACTGCTGATGTAAAAAATGTCAGCAGCAGAAGTGGACATACAGTACTTTCTATGCAGCCTTTTTTCAGAGAATAAGAGGCCAGTCAAGAGTACACGAGATTAGGGTAAAGAATGTTCCATCCCCCATCCCCCCATTACTGGGAACCTTGTAGAGTAGTGTTTCTCAACCACTGGGCTGTGGCCTCCCTTTTTTAGGGCCTCTAGTCAGCTCCAGATCCTTTAAAATCCCTCAGTGCCTACCACCCTGCTGCAGAGCTTCCAGCCCTCTATAGTGCCCCCAACATCTAGCAGTGTCCTACAATGTCCCCCAGCAAGCTAGTCCACTACAGGACCACCAAGTCTTCTGCAGAGCCCCCTTTCTTGAGTGAATGTATTTTTTTTTTTTTTTTTTTTGCTGTTGGAGGCATTGAAGGTTTTGGAAGAATTTACTAGGCCCTGGTCTCTAAAAGGTTGAATGCTGCACATTTGCATATGTAACTGTTTTAGTGCTGTGCTAAGGGATTGGGTCCAGTGATTCTAGTAACAGCAAAGAAAGTGATTCTGAAGTGTCTGGGGTACTACGGTGAGAAACATATACAAAGCAGTGGGGTAAATGAACAGCTGCATTTCTAGGCAGCTTGAATTCTTAAGAATATTTCCCACTAGTTAAGTTTCTATAGAGTTTACAAGAGTGGAGTGGACACTTCACCTGTAATTGTAACATAAAATGTGATGTAATGTGTATGCATTTGAAAGTTCAGTGTGCTTTAACATTGTTCCACACTGACTATAAACACAGGCTTCATGACATGGAGTCCTGAGAACAGCATTGAAACGAAGAGTCACATCGGAGTACTTCACAAATGTGATAATCGGTGTTAATGCCTTGGTTAATCTCATCCTGTCTTGTATTTGATAGTTGGAATGCAAACACATGTACATGAACACATGTAACCATATCCCTGTTTCTTTCCTGGTTCTTCAGGTTGTGATGGCGCCACATGAACCCTCTGTTGTGTTTGTGGATAATTATATCAAACTGCTTGCTGATTGCAACACGGAAACATTCCAAAAGATACTGGAAATGAAGGTAAGGAGAACACAAGGTAGAATTACATAGTTTGGAAGCAGAGCTTCTTCATGTCATGTATCAGAGAACCGTATACCATTTCATAACACATCATTTTCCTCTGAGAATAACAAGACAGGATCCCTGGCACTGACTTGGCTTGTACTTGCTACTGAAAACATCCTTACATCCTGTTGTATAAATGTATTAATCTTAATTCTGGAGTCTATACATACAGGATAGATACGTGGTTTGGGTAGTATTGCCACCACAAATCCTATACTAATAAGAATGCAGAAATATGATTTATGCAGAATTATTTTCTTTGCAGGGTATGTACTGCCTAAAAATAGTTACAACAGCCAAAATGTTTTGTAATTTTTTTGTTACACTTTGTCAGAACTGTTGTCCAGGTTTTATTTTTGTCTTAGTGGGGCAGTTTCCCCTCGCATCCTGGCCTAGTGACATTAGAACAAGAAATTAAATGTTGGGGTTGTCACGTCAGGAAGACAGAGCAATAAAAACCAGACAGATGTTGTACCCCTCCCCAGTGTATTAAATAAAAGTGTTGCTGTCACTGGACATAAACGTTATGCTAAATCTGCAGGTTTTTTGCCTTCATGCATAAAATGCATGAAGGTTTTTTACCTTCATGCATATTATGCATGAAGGCAAAAAACCTGCATGCAGCTTCCTCCCCAACCCCCTTATTCTTACCTCAAACTGATCTCAATCCACCAATGTGCACAAGAACCGAGGCTTTCTTCTCTCTCTCTCCTCACTGACTTAGATACAGCAGCAGGAGTCATTGGCTGCTGCTGTTGTCAGTCACTGCCAGTGAAGTGGGGACGGAGACAAGACAAGTCTTGCTCTGTGGGTCCTATGGACTCATAGGGCCAGCTGTGGATCAAGCATGCATGGGTACCCCCACAGCAAGCCCCTTGCACTCCATGGTGGTAGGAGCCTTGAGCACTGGGGGGGGGGACCCGAGAAGAGGAGGATTGTGCTTGCTTTTTGCAAAAGCTTTGAACAGAGCAGAAATGTATGATATGTTTTGTTATTTTAATCACTAGCCTACAGGGCACTTATACCCCCTTCCTGCCCAGGCCAATTTCCAGCTTTCACAGCGCTGTCACACTTTGACAATTGCGCGGTCATGCAACACTGTACCCATGACATTTTTATCATTTTTTTGAGACAGATAGAGCTTTCTTTTGTTGGTATTTAATCACCTCTGGGATTTTTATTTTTTCTTAAACCAAAAACCACTGAAAATTTTGAAAAAAAAAAAAAGTTTTTTCTTAGTTTTTGTTATACAATTTTGTAAATAAGTGATTTTTCTCCTTCACTGATGTGCGCTAATGAGGCTGCAGTGATGGGCACTGATAGGCTGCACTGATTGGCATTGATAGGTGGCACTGATGGGTGACATTGAAAGGCAGCTCAGATGGGCACTGATATGTGGCATTGATGTGCACTCGTATGTACTGATATGTGGCATTGATGTGGCACTGATGGGCACTGGCACGTGGCACTGATGGGCACTGGCACGTGCTGATCAGTGTACATGTCCCCTCCGCGGAAAGTCGATTACCGGCTCTCCTCTCCTCTCGAGCTGTCAGTGTGACAGCTCAAGAGGAGAGAAATGCTGATAACCGGCATTTCCGTGTTTACATGTGATCAGCTGTGATTGGACACGGCTGATCACATGACCGAGCCGACATCTTCGGCTCTTTCTGTGATCTTCGGCTCTTTCCGTGATCCGCTGTGTCCGAGGGACACAGCGTACCGGCGATCGCCGCACTGCACGCTCCCTGAGCCGCGCATGCGCAGTGAGAATGGTAGAACGTCATATGACGTCCTATCAGAACGAGAGAATCACCTTGCGCCCGTCATTGTACTATAGGGCGGGCGGAAGGTGGGTAAAGAAACAAAAAAAATATATATATAGTATCCCTTTAAAACTTTGAGGTTCTAACTCATTTGGTTAGAGTTGGGCTTTAATATTTTGTTGTCTCTGAGTATTGCGTATAATACAGTGCTTTATATGTACCTTGCAGAATTTGTTTAAAGTTGCTGAACAAACAAAATCTAACAGATGTTTATTCCAGTAACAAAAATGGCACTATCTTGGCACCAAAATGAGTGTTTACAGCCCTGCTTCCCAACCTGCAGCTCGAGGGCCACATACAGCCCTTCGGTACGCGGTGTGTGACCCTCAGACCTCAGAAGTTTGTACTGGGAACACTGATTGAGGTAATAGCATTGATCTCTACTAGGCTCATCAAACATTCTCGATTTCGTATGGTCCTCTGGAGCATATCCCCAGCCAAAAATGTAGCATGTCCACACTCTCTGATCTTCATTTTCTCTATTAGTTATGCAGTTTCTGACATTCTTCTCAAGCATTACATATATTGAACATTATGCAACAATTTGGGGATGTCAGGGGCCTTATTTGAGGCATCCTTTAGTTCATAGGTTGACAACCATTGCTCTACAATAGTGGTTCAATTAGAAAAATTATGTTACATCGAAAGTAGACGTATACAAAAAGCTTTCTTAATTGGAGCAGAACAGTATAAAGCATCCAAGGACACCATATTTAGGAGGAACCAAAGAAGGTATTAAATAGTAGGACCACAGAAGATGGGTTAACTGTCATCCTGGAATTCTAGGGGTAATTTCAAAGCCACGTATGAATAATCGTATACTGGACACCATCCTGCATAGCAGCATCTCAATGACAGTCTTACAGAGAAATTGGTGCTATAAGATCCCAGTCTTGCTGCTTTAATTTTGTTCCAAAACCATCCTCATACCCTAAGCTGTATTATATATAACAAGGAAAGGCTACATGTTCCCCTGTGCTGTACTAGAATCAGTGCTTGACAACAGCTTTGAATTCCCAGAGCCATGACATCGCCCATAGGCTCCCATTACCGTCCATTGTTAGTGATCCCTACTCTCTTGCAAAAGCAGCCGCTCACTGACCCCATGGAGCCAGAGCTGCAAGATCACATGACTGGACCAGAGAGGATTAAAAATAGGTAAGTACATAGATCTTTTTTATACAGGTTATGTAGGCTAGGTAGGAGAAGGGAATAGGGAACGTTTTTTTTAAATAGTTATCTTTATCTATTTGCCACTTTGAGGCTAGTGAATCACTATATAATAAAAATTAACAAATAATAAAAAGTTTTAAAAAGGGGTCTCCGTTAATGTCTACATTAATGTCAATATTGTCAATGATTCTAACCTTTAAAAATATCGCTTAATTTAAACCAAGAATGCATTGAAATCATTTTATTCAATAATTGCTTTTTAATACTTGTGGTAATGTGGGGGACTGTTGTGATTTGTGTCATCAGTTTATTTTTTGCTATGTGTGCCCAGCTCGAGAGATGTCACTTCATTCCTGTCCCAAAGGTGGAATTGAGAGGACATCTCTACAAAGTCAGGGGAATTCCCTCTCAGACAGTTGGCATTGGTACAGGTATCACATTTGAAAGATTTGCCTTCACTTCTGATGACAACTGTAAAAGTTTAATTTCCCATTATTTTAGTTTTGGGGACACTGGCCACCAGGACAAATAGGGATTGTTAGGCTGGCCATACATTATACAATTATCTGCAGATTTTTGGTTTAGATTTACCAAAAACCATATAATAGGAGGACAAACCTAAACAACACTTTCAGTTGTATCCAATTAGGCAGGCCCTTGCACTACATAGTTGAAGGTAAATCTAAAGGAAATTGGGCAGAAAATCTGCAGATAATTGTATAATGTATGGCCAGCCTTAATCTCCCCAGTGGGAACCCAGCAATAAAAAAAACAAACCAAAAAACAAAACCCTTTGATGTATAAATACTCTATTTGTACTGTATATATGACTAGTAAGTGAAAAAGCTCCTACACTGCTCTTGGATTTCCAGTAAAATATTTCTAAAGAATTAGAATTTCCTTTGGAGAAATCATCCTGTTAGACATGACTGGAAAATAGGTTTATATTAGATTTATGGTTCTGCTTGTCTTCTTAAAATATATTTCTGTCACTGTTCGTAAAATAACCTTACAGTTAGCAGCTGTGATCTGCACCATTATTGGCATGTTATGAAAGTGCGATCTTGTTACTATACTTGCGTAGGCTCAAAGACAATCATTTCCAGGGTAAATCATTAAATTCACTATAGATAAAGACAACATTCCTACCGTGATGTTTAAAGAAAACCTATTCTTTGCCCATGCAGGAAAAACCAGTATGATTACTTTAATGCCCCTTCTTAGCAGCACAATGTTTTCTTGTTTTGTCTTTTATTTATAATGGAGAATGGATATCAGTATCCACGCTCTGTTAAAAAACCTATAGATTTATCCATTGATTTTATTAGCAGTCTCTCAGCTTGTGAGTCCCACAGCCAATGGGGACACCTCTCCAAATCATTGGATTCAGGTGTTCCAATCACCTCCATGGTCACAGGTGTATAAAATCAAGCACCTAGGAATGCAGACTGCTTCTACAGACATTTGTGAAAGAATGGGTTGCTCTCAGGAGCTCAGTGAATTGAAGCGTGGTACTGTGATAGGTTGTCGTCTGTGCAATAAGTCCATCCGTGAAATTTCCTTGCTACCGTGAAATGTATTTACTACTAAATATTCCACAGTCAACTGTTAGTGGTATTATAACAAAGTGGAAGCATCTGGGAACAACAGCAACTCAGCTACGAAGTGGTAGGACACGTACAATGACAGAGCGGGGTCATCGCATGCTGAAGCGCACAGTGCGTAGACGTCACCAACTGTCTGCAGAGTCTATACCTAAAGACCTCCAAACTTCATGTGGCCTTCAGATTAGCACAACAACAGTGTGTAGAGAGCTGCATGGAATGGGTTTCCATGGAGAACAGCTGCATCCAAGCCTTACATCACCAAGTGCAATGCAAAGCATTGGATGCAGTGGTGTAAAGCATGCTGCCACTGGATTCTAGAGCAGTGATGTGTTCTCTGGAATGACAAATC